TGGCGGCGTGAATCGCCACCCGCGCACGGCGCCTTCCCCTCCTCTGCCCCCCGCAGCGCACAAGGCTCTCTTATGCAGGAGGTGTCTTTTTCTTGGGACACTGCGGCAGCAGCAAAACTCGAATGCGATGTTCTTCTACTGCCGCCTGAGCACTTCAGCACTTCTTGCCAGTGCCCTGGGCCTCATCTTCCAGCCGTTTTTGTTCGGGCCTCCCTCTATACTGGGGTAGCAGGTATCTGGTTCGTCGTCGCCTTCGTGTCACCATCATCCCGCATGCGGAGGACGCACGAGGAGGATGCAGGGGCCTCGGAAGGCCATGACCCTCTGCGAGCAGGGGTCGGCCAGCGAAAGCGGCCAAGGATGGGCCGTAAGGGAAGGACGCAGAGGGCCACCTCGGACTGCCGCTCCCCCTGCCCGTGCGGGCCGACTGTGCCGCCGGCCGGGCCGCGCAGCACCCCTGGCCTCGGCAGACGGTGCCCCTCTGCGCCGCCGCCACGCCCGGCCCACCCCCTCCTGGGCTCGGGCACGGTGCACACGCGCTCCTGTCGGCTACACGTGACGAGCAACCCTAGGCCCTAGGCAACAGCGAACCCTGGTGCGCGACTTCACGGGGGACGCGGGATGGCCCAGGCGCGCAGGCCGCTGCTATCGTTAAGTCGGGCCTGTCCCCCTACAGGGGGATGTTCGACGAAAAATGAAAAATACCTCCAAAAATCATCAAACAATCATCCAACAAATGTCTGCTTTTTGAATATTGTTTGACCTTCTTGGGGCATATTTGGGGTATGTCTTACTTTTCGTCGAAAATCCCCCTGTAGGGGGACACGCCCGACATAATGCTATCGCTTCGCGCTCGGCGCTCGGGGGGGCCCCACTGGCCCAGACGGGGAGGGCCCATGCATCGCACTGCGGATGCCTTCTGCGGGCGCTCGGGTGGCGCGGCTTTCCCGCAGGACTCGGGGCGGACGCGACTGGGCGAGGTACGGCCAGGCCCATCCTGGGCCCCAGACTGGTGCACAGGCCCTCCTGGCCTGGGCCTGGAGGTCTGTGCACCAGTCCAGGGCCCAGGGTGCACCTGGCCAGGGCTGGTGGTGGTGCAGTGTTGGCGTCCATCCAAGGATAGGGCAAGGGGAACCGGATCAAACCAGCTGCGGGCAGCGGGTTCCTCCCGCGCCCCCCCCGAGGAGCGCGCCCCAGCAGCAGGGACGAGACCAGCTGCATGCAGCAGTTCCCCCTCTTGCCTCCTCCTTCTCCTCGTCCAGCCTCCTCACCACACCCCGCTCCTCCTCCTC